CGTCTATCTCATCGCCTGGTGAAAGGACGAGGGGAAAAGGCGGCTGTATGTGTATAAACGCTGCGCCCGTCTCTCCGTGCTGGGAGGGCTCTTTGGAGAGATCTTAGGAGCCTTTCCGAGGGGCTGATATAGATATAAGGACATTTCTACATCGCGTCACGTGACATAATTACCACTAGAATCAATCAAGATGAATTGCACGTCAGCACACGGTGGGGATTTTTTCTTAGTTGATCCTGTCCAAACCCTCTTGTGCAATAGATGGATCTTGTTCAATGCATTGAAGCCTCCTGCTTGCTTGCAATCGCAAAAAGGAAGACATGACTGAGTTTGACGATTGCAGTCACGGCACATCCAATATGTATCTGCCAGGGTGCGCTTATTACGTCTCACCCTCAGATTTCTCGACGAAACCCTCTTTTTTGTCGCAATCGTCGTCCTGTCAAATGACTTTTCCTTATTCTTCTAATTTACCTCATGTCCAACCTGTGCGCGAAGTAGCATTCAGGGAATACGGATTAGAGCGCAGCAAATGGCAGTATAGGGGCAGTTACGCTCCTTATTACTCAGCTGAAGAGGTGATGCACAGAGACTTTCTGCAGCCTGCGAACAGGAGGACGGAAATGTTATTCAAAACGGACCCTGTCTGCGGCCACCACGGACCGTCTCCCGCCGCCTCCAACTTCTACAGCTCGGTGGGGAGGAACGGCATCCTGCCGCAAGGCTTCGACCAGTTTTACGAGACAGCCCCCGGACCCCCGTACCAGCAGCATTCCGAGGGTGAGGGGGACGCGGACAAGGGCGACCTGAAAGCCCAGAACAGCACTTGCAGTAAAACACCTTCCAGCCAAGAGAAGAAAGTGACACCAGCAACCGGCGCCGATTCCCCTTCTGGTGAGGCTGTTGCAGAGAAGAGCAACAGTTCAGGTAGGCATCAGTAGTAAATTGGGGGCAAGAGTACAAGGCCAACACTTTGTCAAGCCGCATTTTATGTGCAATTTTATAAGCATCCAAAGGATTTTATGTATCCTATAAGATTTCCTTTACCGTTGTAAAGCGTGTTTACGATAGGAAACCAATTTAGGTGGGCTTAAGGTATTCTTGGAAGAGGATATTAATTGTTATTAAATTGTTGATTTGGAGGGGGGGAAGACGGGGAGGTTTCACAGGTAGTACTCAGGGCTGCCTTCGGTTTGGAGCTTAAGATCTTCGTTTGTTTGGGGCGGGGGGTGTGTGTGTGAGAGGAGTTTGAGAAACTTGGAATTTTTCCAGCCCATTTAAATATCTCTCTGTGTTGCTCGAAATGCTCTCTTTTAAGGAGAAGTTGGGAAATATTCGCTTTTTTTTGCTAAGTCACCCAGAGAGTAAGAGCCCCAGGAATATTTTTTTGAACTGCTAGAGGGCTGCTTTCCAGGCAATGGGATATTGTCAAAGTCTCTGATCTCTCCCTAGCTCAGCGTGTTCGCGGCAGCAGCAGCAGCATAAATCAGTTTCTTCTCTCTTGAATTTCAGCAATTCCCCAGCGATCAAGGAAAAAGAGGTGTCCCTATACCAAATATCAGATAAGAGAACTGGAACGGGAGTTTTTCTTCAACGTGTACATAAACAAAGAGAAAAGACTGCAGTTGTCCAGAATGCTCAATCTCACTGACCGGCAAGTTAAAATCTGGTTCCAAAATCGAAGGATGAAAGAAAAGAAACTGAACAGAGATCGACTCCAATATTTCACTGGGAATCCCTTGTTTTGAGAGGGGAAAAAAAAAAGAAAAAAGGAAAAAGAAAGGGAAAAGGAAAAAACTGTAAAACAAAGAAAGAAAGAGAAAAGGAAGAGAGAAGAAAAACAAAGCATATTTCGGTCTCTCTGACTTGCCATCTGAATGCAAAAGTAAATTGGTTTACATGACACATCACCCTGCGGAGCTCAAAGTTTCATTTTCATGTGCAACTCCACACACTGAATGGCCACTGGAGATTTCGGGGCTTGGCGCAGCAGATTCCTCATAAGGGGAAACTAGGGTAAATCCAACTGTCCGCTCTCAAGTGTTTCTCGCCAAAGGTGCTTTTTTTTCCTCTCCCACAGTACCAGCAATGGACCTGCAGTGTGTCTGGTAGTTTTTGCTTACAATTCATTGATTTCGGGGGGGCTCTGTTGTTGCTTTTGAGCTAGGATAACACTCTCCTCCCTTTAAGTGAATGCGGTTTATTTAAGAAATGGTAAATGTACGTTCACTATATATAAAATATATATATATATGTTTCTATTGTCATCCAAAAGCATGGGCCACTGTCTTTTTCATGTGAATAAATGGTTTCTAGTAAAGTTAAGGTTATAACTTCCGTGCACTGTATGGATTTCCACCTCCAAAGGATCCTGGCGTTTCCCGGACTAGAGCCAAGTTCAGTTAAATAATAACGGGAGGAAGCCTAGTCAGGTTATTTTAAATGCTTTTAAAATAAATAATAGTTTAGATGTCTAACTCTGCATTTGTAGGTATGCATAACCTTCCCTGTTTGCCGAGGCAGAGTCAACATGTCTGTCTGCAGACCATCACTTCTGATGGTGCTACATTTACTATAAACAACGAAAAAGGGTTTAAAAAAACCAAAAAACAACCAAACCCACAACTGGTCAGGCTCCCCAGTAAGCCCAGAATCCCCAACGCCAATGGCTGTTTGCTTGTTAGTGAAGGGCAAGGCAGAAAGACCGAAGGATCGGAGAGAGCCAGACAAGAGGGAGCTATAAACAATTGGCACTAGTTGGGGCGTGGGGCGGAAAAAAAAAAAGAAGAAGAAAACGTTGGAGGCAGAGGGGTGGATCTCTTAAATATCTTTCCTCGGCCTGAGCGCCGCCGCTGCCCCGGCGGTGGCGGGCCCTGAGCGGGGGCGAGCAACAGCTCCGCTCCTCGCCGCTTCATCTCGCCTGACCTGGCTGGGCTGTTTACAAAACCTTGAACTGTCTAGACAACACCATAAAACCCGAGGTTCTAAACAGCTTAATTGGGTTATATTATACACCTTCTGGTGGGTGAAAAAGAGATTTCCGCAATGTGCAATAAAGGCGAGGAGTGAGAAAAGGATTTGCCTTTTTTGAATAGGACGAAGCGGCTCTTGCTACGCTTGCAGGCAGGGAAGCCAAAAGTGCCCAAATAAGTCAGGAAAAGCCCCAGAATTCAAAAAAACGAGAAATAGAAGCAGAAGGAGGCATGACTAAAAAAAAAAAATTTAAACCCTGTAGCAAGAAAAACATAAGTGTATGCCTTTGAACTTCCAAAATGTCAAGGTCATCACCTTTAACCTTTCTGAATAATTAGGCGCCTTAAGGTTCCTCTGTTATTTTCAACCACCACCCACCCTCTCTCTCTCTGTGTCTCCCTCCCTCTCTCTCACACACACACACGCACAACCACACACACGCTTATTACCGCATAGCTGGCCATGTTAGCAAATGCATCATAACGCAAAGAAAATCCCAGCTGGGTCGAGGTGAACTCTCCGCGGCGTGGCGGGGAGCATGCCCCGCTCCGGTCCTCACCAGCCGGAGCACGGCCGGCTCCCCGCTTCCCTCGCCTTTCTCTTCCGCGCCCCGGGAATTCGCCCTAAATCTCATTTTTTTTAGCTCTTAACAAAAAATTGGGGTTAACAAAAAAAAGAAGAAAAGAAAGAAAAAATGCGGGGGCTGAAGAAAATGCTTCGTAATTGAGGGAGAAAGATGCTATTTCTATGTAGCTTTTCTGCGGATGCGCGTTTCCCCACAAAGACCATTAATTAGAAATGCGCCAAGCCGCGGGGAAATTTCTCAAAGCATTTCGCCTGACCTTATCGCAAAATTCTCGCGTCTCTCCCGAGCCTTAATCCACAGGGCGAGAACTAGTCGTTTGATTTTCTGTTCCCTGCAGTGCTTTAACAGTCTATTTTAGCGGATTATTACGCCTTTAAAACGCTAAGACACCGCAAAAGGGGGCCGCGGCAACCGAAACACCCTAGCGTTAATCTTGCATAAAGGCTCAATGATAGCAGTTTTAAGTTTCTATTTAAAAAGAAAGGAAGAAGTCCATGACCGAGAGCAAATTGAGCTGGGGAGAAGGAGTCTGGGAGAGGACATTCCCGGTGCTTGGCGGCTAACGGCCACAGGAGGGCGTGCCCGGGCCCCGCAGTGCCCGCCACCGCCCCGCCGGCGTGCGCGTCCCTTTCCCCCACTAATAATAATTCCACTGCTAATAAAATATCTAATATATAAGTAACGATAAGATTTCAAGACCTTCCAAATGAGAAAATAAAGCATCAAAAAGATTTATTAAACAAATAACCCATAACCGTGACGTGCTGGAGAAATATGCCGCTTTAAAAGATTTTTTTGGGGGGGTCGTAATGTTTTACAATGCATCGGAGCTTTAAAAAAAACCCATAATGTTAAGAAAGGGAAAAAAACCACAACCAGTGATATTCAAAATCCGTTCCCTAGAACGAAAATCTATTTACTTCTTTAAGGGTGGCTTTAACGCGGATGGAACAAAAGTAACATAAACCCCATGCATTTCCACAGTTTATCTTCTATTCTTATTCGAGGTTTTTCTTAGATAAATCTCTAGGTACAGCAAATTTAATTTTAAAACCACGTTTTATTTAAAGTCGAGACTAACGTTAGATCCTGAGAGTGCTTATTTATATAAAGAGAGACAGAGAGACTAAAGAGAAAAGAAGATATTTTTAATATCCGAACATCACCTTGCCAAGGCATTGCTGAATGAAATCCCCCTCCTTAAAAGTACTATGGAGATCTATTAAAATGAAACTAGAGATTAGAAAATTAAAGTGAAGCTTATGAATTTCCTGGACGCTCTCCAGTGACCGAGCATGTTCCGTTTTTCTGGTTTTCTGTTGTTATGTTGGGTTTTTTTCTCCAGTGCGCACTTTTGGTCAGAATCTGCGGAAAGAAAGGGCTTCGTTGCTTTCTGCTTATTTGCAGGATTCATCGAAATCTCTTTCACGTTGGCTCAGCCATATTCCGCATTTTTTAAAGCCCCGTCTCTCGTGAAAGCATTTGTTGGCACTTTGTCTGCTGGCTTGGTGTTTTGGTTTGGTTTTTTTTTTTTTTTAGAAGTTCATTGTTAACAGTTTCCTAGAAATAGCCTTTCCGTCAGTAATAAAATGGCACTGTACAGTCCGAAATCCTTGGGATCCTTGACGCCAAATGTACCCCTTGCCGGCGCAGCCGGAGCCCGAAAGAAAAACCCCTGGTCTCTCAGTGGAGATACCCATTTCGAGAAGGAAACATTTAGGAAGTTTTTGTGTGTGTTTGTTTTTCTTGGCGTGAGAGTGCTCCCTCTGAGAGCCCACACCAACCCCGACTCCATTAGGCTTCGTACGAGGTGCTTTAACCCCTCGCAATAACAGTGAGGCCGATTTCAGCGAATGTGAACGAGTGATGTGAGCCAGGATGTGCTGTTAATTTTAAAGAATATACCGGCATATATGGAAACGCCGGTTCCTTTTTTTTCTTTTTCTTTTTTTTTTTAATGAATCGTCGTGGAAATGTGATGATTCTGTGCGAGCCAACAATACCTTCTATTATTTTTGTCTTTTTTACCCCTTTCCCTGTTTAATTCCTTTAGACAGAAAAGGCTGTGAGCTATTTCAAAACGCCTTTGGGCTCGTCCTTTAAGGAGAAAGAAAAGGGCATTTGCTACAAGTGCGGCAGGAATCGACCGAAGGATAGATGTGCAGCCCAAATACCGAGGCTGAGGACAGAATCGGCGAACAATCTACACGCTAAAATCTCATCATACCACATAAGCACGTCGGTGTCCAGAGAAATATAGAAATACAATAGAGGAAGGGCTGAGGCTTCAGGCGAAGCTGGGAGTACAGTCAGTGCTACTGTGCGATCCCCACGCTCAGAAATAACACCTTTGAAGAAACGGCCAGCCTGGTATTTTGTTTATTTTATAAGCTTTCATATTTAGGAAAAAGTATAATGTCATTAGAATGTTCCTCTCAAACCCCCCACCCCCACACCGTCCTCGGTCAAAAAAAATCTAGAGAATCTGAGCCTTCAGCCCAGACGCCGGCTCTTTCAATGAAAATATGGCACATAGAAATCCGGGCAACGTGACAGTTGCATTATTAAAAGAAGAAAGGGCACAATATCGTAGCCAATTTTTTTTCTTCCTTAAATAAAATGTGTTCTTCAATCTCCCTGCAGTATAACAGTGTGGCACAAAATACACAATCTCCGCGTTTAAAGACAACCTAAATAAACTGCTGAAATCGAGTAAATGAAAGGAATTTTACTAAAAGCTTCCTGGGTTCCAGTCTGTTTTTAAAATAAGATATTTCTCGCAATACCTTTGTTTCTGGAGGCATCTGCAAAATATCTAGCCTCTTTCGTACCTCTCTCCCATCCCCCTCCCATAATGAGACACAAACACAGCAAATTGCAACTATGAGAATCCTCAGAGCGG